CTAATCTCAAGTTACTGGCAAGGCACTTCAGCGTTTGTAGAACAGCACAATATGATAATGTCTTAAAATCAAATAAGAATTATAATAAACCAGGACAATAATTCTGAAAGCATTAGAATTTGTGAGGATTAAAGCTTTTTTTAGCAATGGTGAGAGAAAAGAGGTTTTTGACACAACAAAAGAAACCCCAGCCTCTTAATTCCCCAGGCTGAACATTGAAACAGAAGCTTTCAGAGGTGCTTAATATATCTTTCTGGTTTCCACCCCTTTCCCTAGTGTAAACAGCAGTCAGGAGTAAACAGGAAACAAATATGAAACATACTTATTTAGTTTTTCCTCTATGGGGTGCATTTGCCCTAAAATCTGCTAGGCAGTATCACACAAGCACTTAATGACACAAAAATAAAGGGTGTGATATAAAAACTTTGATGCTGTAACATGAAAGCAAAGCCTTTGCTATTTGAAGTGCCAAAAAGACAACCATAAAGGTCACCTCACTCTTATTTGTAAAACGTGCTTCATGGATTTCCCAGTCGCATCTGTTCAGCTCACTGACAGCACAGGTTTTTCACCCGTCACTATGGGGCTAATACAGCCATAGAAAAATGGGAGGCAGCTTTGCCAATCAGTCTCCCATGTCAACAATTTAGCCTGCTCAGTTCTAATCCTGAGTTAACTGGAGGCCCTTCTCAACACGGCAAGAGAGGAGATGGACCTGAATGGGTAGATGAAACTACCAAGGAGACTTGTGGGAAGCATGATGCCACTGCATGTGAATCAAAGGACTTGCCAAGTGAACTTCTCATGGGTCTGAGAAGCAGAGTTTCCCATTGATGGAATAAATGGCAATTCCTTACTAGATTTTAGAATGGAATAAGAAGGTATCAGGTAAGTATACCGTACCAAAAATGATGTAAGGTAAAGGAAAGAACACCTTTGTTATATTTTTCTGTCCCATGAATTCTGTATAGTGCTTTAATGTATTCTACAGATTATCAATGATTATCATTATGCTCTATGCAAGCATATTTTAAAGGGGAAAGTAGTAATTTTAGGAATAAGAATAGAAAACAGCCCTGGCCTCATCTGGGATTTACTATGCACAACATTTTCACTTTCCATAAAAAGTTAATAGAGAGGATATTCACTCTTTATGTGGGAGGCAGCATTTCCTAACCCATGTGCTGGGGATGATAGGAGCTGCAGTCCAACCTCTACAGACAATATGCCTATATAGGCACGGGGAAGGCTTCGTAAGGATTTTTAGCGACAGCTACCTGAACCAGGTGAGTTTCTTGTGCCCACCATGCAAGACCAGTCCCCATCAGCTTTCACCTGGGCCTTCAGGCAGGGAAAGGTGCCATAAGGCAGGCTCTCTTCTGCCTGGCAAATGTTAGTCAGCAAGTCAGCTGTACAGAGAGTCTCAAGGGAACTGTTCTCAAGTGAATTGCTTATGCTCAGCTGGCTGGTGTTTATTGACTATCCACGTAATGATGGTGCCACATCCTGCACATGCCATATACTTATATATGTTATACCCTTATGTAGGCACACACTGTATGCTGTGCATGTTACTGATGCAATCTGAGCTAGCGGTGACGGATGAAGAAAGAGTTCTTGGTGCTGCGGTGGATGGCTCAAAGAAAACAATCATCCAGGGTGTGGCGGCTATGGGAAAGGCACACTCTTTGTTTGGAGTAATTACCAAGTCTTGAATATAAACCTGCCAGTATTGTACTGCCCTTATACAAATCTAGGGTGCCACCACATTTACATGATGGGCACATGTAGCTGCCCCCGTTTCTGGTGGCAGTGGCAGTGTGTTTGTGTGTGTCCATGTGTATGTGTACACACCTGCATGGGCATGCAGTGCATGGTGTGCTCAAGAGGGGAGTGCAGCACCTCAGCCCACTGGTTCTCCTCCCCTCTAGGCCTGCAATATCTCAAGCAGCTTCTCCTCCCGTCTTCTGTAACCTCTGGGAGACCCCCTACCCCAAGCTTTAAGATCTCCTAGGGAAACTATGTGCATGGTTGCATCTTGTAGTGATGTAAGACTGGCATCAACCAGGAATGGGTCCTTCTCAGCAGTTGCCTTAATACTGTGGAAATTCCTTCCCTGAAAGGTGGAGGCTTATTTGGAAAACTAACAAAAAGCAAATCTGTTCTATCTAATTGAGGTTGTTGGTTGATAAACTGCAACTTGAGCGATTATAATTTGAGTTATTTTGTTCAATTGCGCTTAATTACCGCATCATGTTATTTTGTATCTAAAGCTGCTTATCAATTATTTTTGAAAAGCAGAATATATTTAATATAAAATAAATAAATAAAAATGTTGCATGCAGCTGACATATGGCAAAGCCACAGTGTAGACGGCATGAGCACACGGCATGCCCTAATGTGAAACCTATCCTTGCATGTGCAGATACAGCTTCAGACCCACTTTGGATACTGAAGAATGATCATATGTTGATGATTATGTTTATGATTATCTGCGCAGCAGCTGAAAATATATTGTACAAAAAGATAATCTTTTAGCCTTCCCTCAAAAGATGGCATGGTCTCCTGTAACTTCAAGCGCAATTACTCCCGCCTCTGTGCTGTGTCTCTCGGCACAGAAAAGAGTCTCAGTCAGAGTGAGATAATGAGAAAATTGCTTCTTCTGGGGTGCAAGCCGCAGATCAGAACGTGGAGGAGAAAACTCACTGTGACTGATGGATCCAGAAGGAAATATCCCTCAACACCCCATCTATCTCGCAGGCACTTCTGTCAATATCCCAATTGCCACTATCCTTCTCGTGCCAATCGAGTCCTCATGCAGCTGCACGGAAGAGGCTGCCTTGCCCAGCCCTCCACCTTATCTACACCTTCCACAGGATACTTAATTACAGGCGCCTTGTGTATTGAGTGCCAGGCAGGGATCTATTCATCAAGTGCCTCTTGCTGCCAGACCAGGTTATGAGGAAGGAAGTGTAAGATCTATGGATTTAATTACACTCGACACTATCCATCCCTGCTTACAAGACAGGTATTCATAACTCAGGTCCGGGAGCACCAGCTGGCGGGCATTTGCCAGGGGTGCTTCTGGGCTGGCCTCTTCCTTCTCCTCTGAGACGGAGAAAGGGCAGTGGGAGACCTCAGAAGAAGAAGAGCACAGTGGTGCCTACACAGGGCACCAAGGAAAGCCACTGCCCAGGCAGGGCTGCACACTCCTCATTCCTCACTGCCTTTTCCAGAAAGGGTCATGGCGGCATGCCATTTTTAGCTCCTTTGTTCTTGGAAGCTATTTTGCACAGGCCCTGACCACGTGCTTGATCTACCTGGTATTATCATACACCCACCCACTCCACTACAAGCGCACAGCAATGGCTCAGTTCTAGGCCAGTGGGCAGTATTGGTGGACAGTAAGCAGTCTACCCCTATTTGACAGCAGTGCTGATACACAGTAAGTTGTGCTAGCAAATCAGCTTGTAGCAGCCTGCTGAGAGCATCTGCAGATGTGATGGCCGTCCCCAGAAAATGCGATTGGCATTGTGCTAGGGGTTGTTTAAGCTAAAACTTAATTTATGGTTCCATGCATGTCAAACAAAATGGTTATCCTTCCAAATGGTTATTCCACCCCCCCACACACACACACACTTTTTGGGGGGAAAGAAATAAAACAAAGCACGTTTATACCTCAGTCTTTTGTGTGTTTATTCAGAAGCAATTCCCCTTCTGTTTAGTACAGCTTATTCCCCAGGAAGTGTGCACAGGGTTACAGGTTTATTCAACCTGATTGTAGTGGAGAGGTAAATATCCATCCATCCATCCATCCCCGGTCCATCTAATTCTGTTCAAAAATGCCTGAATTCACCTCCAACTTGCTCCATATGTGTAAGGTGGGTGATGACTCAGGATGCTAAAGATTTCTCAAGCTGCTGGTTGCATCCTTCAGAGGGACTGGTGGTCAGAGAAGTGTGGCAGGGCAACACCCCCGGGAATGACAGGTGCAAGTTCTCCCCCATGAAGGGTGGCAACCAGCAGGGCCTGAGGGAGGGTAGCAGGAGATGGGCTGGAAAAGCTGCAGTCCAGCTGGTGAGATGATCAGAAGGGGACGGCCAGGGAAGGGAAGGGAGAAGCCGGGAAGGGCTGCCAGGAGAGCCCTAACAGCCTGCCAGGGGGAAGAGAGCCAAGGAGGGGACTGTGTAATGAAACCAAAGTATCTAAAGGATTTCTACTCTAACTTTTTACCAGGATGGTCTTTAAAAAAGCACATATGTTCTGTAAGTAGGTGTTATGATAATGCTAATAACAATAATGAACCACATGATTAAAACAATAAAAGTCCAACAAGCATAAAACTGAGACAGCACTAGAAACAAACAAAACATGCTAATCAGTTAAAGCGGCATAGGAACAGTGAGCAGAAACTAAGAATGATCAAAGAGCAGGAAAAAAGAACACATATGCATATCTACATATCAGTTAACTATAAATCCACATTCACTATTATCTAACCTGCTAGCTGCAACAGCAGATGTCAAGAGACCTTATTTGACTTCCAAAAGCCAGCAAGGCCAATGTGACGAGGAAGACGTGCCCTCAACTGGCTGCCAGACAGTGCTAAGCAGCCTCCCTGCCCTTTCTAACAGCTCACGGACGATGGTGGGTGTGGCGATCTCCCCAGTGTTGAGGCAAGGGGTGTTGTGTGCACACACGTGGGTGTTGGCTTTTCTATTCTGCTGGTGGCAAGGCATGCTTCTTGAAACACGCCGTGTGAAAAAGGCGAGCCTCTTCTCTAGCACAGCAGTGCTTCTTGGGATGAGAAAAATGGGGCTTAATGCAAGCAAGACAAATTAACAGTGCTGGATATTGCAGGCTATGCACACAGATGGCTCCTTATGCATACATGAACTTTCTTTTCTTTACATGCATGTTAATGGCACACACTGTCGTCCAACCTGCTGGGATGCAGAAGGAGGTGCGTAAGGCCACAAAGCCTCAAGGAAAGAATTTACCTGTGTAGAGTGAGATGTAGGGAGAGTCAACCACCTCAAACTTGAAGTTGGGAAGGAAAACCCGCCACTGAAAGAGATACGAGAGCAGTGAGTCAAGCAAAAGGCATATTTTGGTATGCTCATGCATCTGGGGATAGGGTGTTTGGAGAAGAGCAGTTGTCAGGAATGTAAATACGAGGAATATAGGAGAGTCCAAACAGCTCCTATTCATTTCCAATTTAAGATGGTAAGTGGGTTTCCTTCATGCCATCTGCTCTCCAAAATAATATGTTGGGAGAATAAGTTGTGGAAAGGAAGTGTCTGTTCCATTCTCAACCTGTTGTTCCTGGACATTACTGGTCTAGGCCCAAGAATAAAGGTGATTCCAGATGGCAGCTCTACCAATATTAAGAAACTGGGTGAATTCCCATGTCATGACACCCCACCCTGAGAATATGCTCCCCAGGGTGGGTTGTTTGTGAAGCAGTCCGTGGTGTGCCTGATGAATGATCAGGACCACTGCAGGTTGTCTTCCCACTCCTTGCCACCATATGTCCATGTGTGGCTCGCATATGTACCTGTCAAAAAACACCCTGAACAGTCTTGTCAAAAATTCCCTTTTAAAAGGAACCAGTTTTCATAGCTAGCTCTTAAACCTCCACTGTAAAAGGCAGTGGAATTTTCACTTTCCAAAACACCTAGAATTTGAGAGAAGGGTGGAAAAGTGCAAGGCACTTGCCAAGAGGTCCATGCTTCCCCCACAACTAGGATCTCACCACGAAGGGGGTGATCTTTTATAAGCAAATATCACTTAAGTTTAATTTCTCTTGACAGCTCACCTTTTGTCAACTATCAAGAGAAAGCAAGGTAAAAAATAAAGCTCTTAGCAGCTTCCCTAGACCAATGTCCACTCTCGGTGCCGCATGCACTTTGACAGCAGGCACTCTTAAGGACATAATTTCGCTTGCCACTTCTGACCCATGCAAGTCCAAATACTAATAGTTAGAGTAAGTTTGAAAACATTTGCACAAACTTCTTGCACTTTTTAAAAAAGGTGACAAACCAGTGACAGTCTCCCATATGCCACTTGAGAATTTTGAAGGGGCTGTCACTACCTGCCAGACTGGAGATCAAAGAAAGAGATCTGCTCAAAACAAAAAAGAGAAGAAGGTGAAAAAGCGGCAGTCATCATGGTGGGATCGAAGCTGAAAAATGGTCATTTGTTACTTTGTCTTTCATGGGACAGGAGTCAAACAGTGAGTCGATGAGAGAAAAGTAAAGCCAGGGGGTTCTCGGCTTGTGAAAAGAGGTGACTACTTCTCCACATTTCAGGTGTGATCTCTGATGGATTGCCTTGACCATTCTCAGTTTCCTTCACCTTTTCTACACATTCCCCAGTGTCTCGTTACTCAAGAAAGGTAAAATAAATAACCCATTCCTTTTCACAAGCACTTTCTTTTGACAGCTATCAACTGATGACAGGGGGTTTGTTTAAGCAAGATTTTGGAAAGGGTGAAACCAGCTTGTTTGGACAGACTTCATGGCTCTATATTTTGGAGGCACCAACCCCAAAAAGGGGCACGAGTGGTGTGAGCAGACAATATGGGTTCAGCTGGATACCAATGGGAGGACCAAGGGAAAAGGAGGGGACAACCACAGTGAGTCCAATTATCTTTCTGGTGCACTGTGGATTGTTGGGTTGCTCCACGAACAACCCACACCATGTAGCTTCTTTTAGGGTGGTTGGCCATGTGGGTGGCAAGGATGGCTCACCCATGCAGAAACTTGCAAGAAAACTGAAGGGCTACACATAAAAGATGAAACTGTCTCTCCACCTGTTATAAACGTACATGTTTGAGGCAGGGATTTTGCACAATCAAAACTTCATCTGAACGTACCTCAAAGGTAATAGCTTGATTAAGCAAAACTGATCCATCCCTAGAAGGAAATGGGGGTGGGGGGGGGAGATACAGCACACCATCCAGAGTTCTCTCTAACAACTTTATGTTTTGGGTACAGCTTCTGACTTTCATAGCTCAGATGTGAATCTAGGAGGATATCAGATCAGCACAGGTTCCTTTTGGTAGTAGTGGAAGCTATAAGAGTGAGAAAGGCCTTGTGATATCCTGCTGCAGAAAATGCAAGAGCGTGCACGTCTGTTGAATCACCCTGGTAATTTTCCAGACCATATTCGTTTTTGCTTAAACTTGCAGGCAACTTGAGCAGCTGTTACTCATCTGTTGCTAGGTATCCACTCATCTTTTCACATATTACTGCTTTTGTTACAGGGGCATTGTATTTTCTGAGCACTCAAATTGCAACATGATATTGCTGGGAAAGGAGGAGCAAGCGCTGGTGGAATGAGGCTGCCCATCCCATGGACAGTGGATAGTGACATCATTGGGCTGAATGCCTCCTGCACTGTCATTTGGATAATGCTTTTCCCCTGAGGATGCAAAAGAAGCAGCATTATTCCTGCAAGCTGGTTAACTTCTTTTCAGCATGTTCCCACTACATGCAAATCCATGTGCCATGTGCACAGACTTTGTAGAAGATGACAACTCCATACTCAAAATACATTTTGGTGATGACTCTGTATTCTTTGACTTCCAACAGAACCTTTGCAACTTCTTGCATCCTGTTACTTCCTATTTTTTTAAAAAAAGGTAAGCTAAGGGCATCCACAAACATATTAAAAAACAGGAGTTGCAGCACAAGTTCCACTAGTAGGGTGAGCCTCACTTCTTCCTGGATTCAGAATGGAAATATCAGATACTCTAATCAGCAAGCAGAATACCATTTCAAATTGACTGTATTGGCTCTTCCCCCAATGCTCTCAGCCATGCGCTTGCGCAGCCCTCAATGAACTGCACGCATGCTACCTGCATTCACTGTATATCGTTGCTGCTACTGTTACTGTAAAAGCTCAGCAATAAAATAGCTGAAAAAACGTCCTGGGCATGGGGAGGCAGGTGCGCAATGTCACTGGCTCCAGCCAATCAGAGTTCTCCACAGCCGGCATCTGCTGTCAGCACGCAGAACAAGTTTGCACTGGACCTGCTCCAGGAGAAAACATGTTGCTTTTAACACAGTTGCACACTTCTAGTGCGGGCTGAAATCATATATGCCTGTGTGCACCCCGAGAAAGAAAGCGAGAGCACTTACAAGCCACCTTCGCGAGGAGTGTTATTCAGGACTGGAGCCGGGAGGAGTCCATTCAGCACCACTGCACTCTAAGACTGAGTTGAGCTATGGTGTTGCTATGTTACAATTTGATATGTCTGAACACAAACAGCACCAGCCACTTGGGTTTGTAATAAAAGCGACTTCTTTTTCCCTCTGTAGGCTGGAGATTTATTATTGTTAATCTGGATGCCTAGAGAGCTCTGTGAAGACTGACAAGTGTCTGGACATTGTGCAAAGTGACAAAAGCATTAATGTGTCAGTGTTCATCTATCCATTTTATATGCCTGTTTTTAGACAGGCCCATATGTTGTTCATTCTGCAAATGTAGTATTTACACAGACATGCTAAGTAGCTGATGAGCAAGGAGAAAAACCTTGCATGCATATGGGCTTCTGGCCCCTTGACACAGACAAGTGGTTGGTGCGTATTAGCTTAAAGCAACAATAAGCTCATGCAGCATTTTTTGTATTTCCTGTGCTCTGAGTGTTACACCTGCTCGAGTGACCTAGAATCCTTTGGCAGGGACTTCACAGCAGGGACAGGGAGCCATGGGTGGAAGGGGGGGGGGATCATTTACACTGAGCAGCTCTTCTTCCTTTTAATTTAGAAGTGGGATGAATGGAGCCTCTTTAAAAAGACTAATATTTCACCTCCAGCAGCCTGCAGTGCAGCAAAGGCTTCTGTAAAGGGAACACAGTCCCACTGAGAGGCATGGAAATTAGGCTATTTTAAAGTTTCCAGTAGATGGGGGACATTTTATCTTGAGAATAAAAGAGTTTAAGAAATTACCAGCAAGGAAATCCTACTCACCCTCTCTCTGGCTCTTTCCCCGGAGAAGGACACAATTAATTTTAAGCGGAAAAGACATTTTCATACTCTGCAGCAAGAGAGGAAGGGCCTGGGGGCTAATCTTTCTCTCCCTACTCCCACTGTCCTCTGCTTTACTGCAGAATGGATTAAGGAGGTTAAGAAAATACACACATTTGTTTCTAGTTAGTTTATCTAGAAAACATAGACCTTTGGGGCACCCCCTGGCCATATACCCTTTTCTTATTTGGTAACCTGCAAACGAGGCCTGCATTCATAAGGCTGAGATTCTGCTAAAAATTCCTGCTTGGCTCAAAGGGTTTTTGGATGGATGTGCAACATTTATTTACTACCAAGATTATTTTAACACAGAGACAAGAAAACAGAAGGCTGGAGCATTTTTTAATGTTCAAACCTTGCTTAATTTTCCTATAAGCTTATTGTACCTGCAAAGGGAAATGGTCCAAATAAATTTACTCACACCAACTTCTACATGGTCTGATCCACGGTCATCCTGCTTATGGAGGAGCTCAAAGTAATAGCGCCTGGAGGAAAGGACACTGTGTAGGAAAGAAAGGCGATTATTAGAAAATAGCACGTGGGCCTCTAGGGAGACAGGACTTCTAGGACTGCCATGTTTCTGTCCCGGAGGAATTCGCAGCTTCAAGAGATACTGGTGCGGGTACCAAGGAAGGCACAGAGCAGAAACTTCAGACGCTGGCATCTCATAAATCATACTAGTGAAACCAGTTGATCACCCACCCAGCTTTCCAGTGACTCTCCAGCAATAAGCACGGTAGGTGCCCAGGGAGAGTAAAAGGCAGGCAGGACCCTGAGGCTATTTATTTGCTCTTCCCTTTGCAATCTCCTCACTCGGAAGCATTGAACTGGCTGCATCAACACAGGAAGCTTCCAAGTGTTGCAGCTGGTACAAGAGGTTGACAATGATGGGTTCTGTAGTGAATGCCCTCACCTCCCCTGTATCTCTCAAAATGCCACAGTTCTCGGAGGTTCTTTCCGCAGCCTAACACCAGAGTTGGTGCGTCACACACTGACTCAAATGTAACCTCCATACAAAACCTTCCCCTTGTCAGTTATGTGCATTGCATACTCCAATCCCCCACTCACAGATTAAAAAGCACAGGTGTGTGTAAAATAACTTGGTCTGCAGAAAAGATGATCATGGCAACCTTCATGTTTTCACAGAGTTCTTTGGCAATAGCTGGCATGACAGAGGGCAAGAGGAAGAGGGGGTAAATGGCAGAGGGCAAGAAGGGCTACTGTGGTAAAGTGATTGAGCTGTTGACAACAAAGTCAGTAATTCAAAGGCCACCTCAGCCATTCACTCGCCAGACCAGCTCCTCTCTCCTGGTGTCAACGCCTTCTCACTTCCCACTCTGCAATTCACGCTCACTAGAATTCTGCCCTGTGGGCTGCTGTGAGGATTATCAAGCTAAAGTGTGCAAGGCACCTTTTACACTTGGATGTGCTGCATAAATGATAAGGCTCACACTGTCACATGGCTTCCCTGTGTTATTGATAAAGCAAGTGGTTGGAAGACATCTGCTTATACTATCCAAAAAGGCACACAGGTGAGGAAAGCTGTACCCTTCCACACCTTATCTTTCCATGGTCCACTGCGCCAGGAACATTTCTCCTGGCTCAGCTCCAATATTGAAGGTGATACCAAAGGGGAACTACTTGAGACTATCAACCCTGGTAAAGGTAAAACAGGTGAAGTTGCTGCTCTCTTTTCTCTTCAGCTTTTCCAGATCTTAGAAGTCAACTTCCACTATACATGAGATGATGGTATCATCTTAGTTCCACCCTGATTACAGACAGCAGGGTCAAGAACTGGGATGCAGAAGAGAAGGCGGCAAGATACATGGGACAGGGAAGAGTTGCCACAGAGAGAATGAGCCACGTACTTGCAGCACAGCGTGGAAGGCTCAATTCTTTGTGCAGTTATAATAGCCCTAAACATCTCTTCTTCGTTCTCTGCCTTCCCTGCCCCCAGGAATGCCGATGTGAAATGTTGTGCCAGATTCCCAATCATGCACGGGTTACACAATACCTTGATGGTGGTTGTCAGCACAGGTACATAACAAACAGGATGGGCTACCGAAAACTTACAAGTCCTTTGGAAAGCAGCCACCCATGTCAAAAAGGAGAGTGCCTGCGTACTGAAGTAAAGGATGGAAGGGCTTAAGGATAAAAGAAGCAGAAGCGGAACATACACAAAAAGAGAATGCTGTCAACAGTTGGAGATAATAGATGCCCACACCCAGCTGACAGAGTCAAGACACTGAAGCTGCAGCTGCAGCTGAGACCCTGCTGCTCTGTCACTGCTGCCTGTCAGTCCTCATCAGCGAAAGCAGAGGGCTCCTAAAATCCTCCCTACACTCGCTTGCTTGCTGGCTTGGCATGCTGCATGTCACTGCTGCCATGGAAACCATATCCATCTCACACACAACGAGACAGAAGGCTCTCTGCTGTAATGTGTCCAGGACACCAAACGCTTGGGATGCTGGGCTCATGTCACAACACAAACTCCCCAGAGCTAAGGGAACTTTGGAACTTTGCACGCAAGGGGTTCTTGAGCAAGTGAAGTTCGACCCAACATGGCAAATGGGGAGATGGTGAGAGGCTGCCAGCTTCAGTTGGTGCTTGTTAGTTCAGCTCCAGCAATGGCCTGAAGAACAGGCAGCATTTCGGAGGAATTTCATCCTGAGGAGGGAGAGGGAGACAAATGCTGATCCATAAATCTAATGGCAAAGGGAATGGGCCACGCAGAATGTTGCTGGGAACATGGACTTCAGAGAGTCTGCCTCCAAGACAAGAGCAAGGAGGAGGACGGATGTAACTTCACAGAGCGAACCGACGGGGACGGGCCACATTCCACTGGGAGAATGCATGCTTTAAATACAGGAGGCTGTAAAGTCAATTCCTAGTCAAAGGGACAGGCATCAAGTGCTCAGAATGAGCTGCAGCTCAGCTACTGTGACTCTGATGGGAAGTTCTTTTTATTCTAGCCTCACCACTCTTTAGGCACTGAAACGAGGAGCATAATGTTCACTTCATACCTTCACTGCGTTTCAGCAACTGACCACTGAATTAGATGTAAGACAAGCACCTCTAGAAACATGGAAGATAATAGGCAGGACCTCTCAAGGAAACTGTCCAGAAAAACCAATCAATTCTGTTAAAAATCTTGCATTTTTTTAAAAAAAAAGCTTTAGTGTTTATTTTTCTTTGATCTTTTTTTAAAAAAACTTAAATTTCTTAGGAAATTTAATATACTAAGCATAAATAAGAATTTTAACAAATAAAGTAAAATAAATAAAATGCAAAAGCTAGCTGCACTGTCCATAAGGGGAAAAAATCCCAAACCCATATTTGTGTAACGTCCTTATTATGTCCACCCAAGGATCGCATATGTTCATTGTCCTGCATATGTTGTGAGCCACTCAGAGAGCCTTATGAGTAATGGATAAATAAATAAATGTCATAAAAATGTGCAATTCTTCAAGATATTCATTGGGCAAGATATTACAAAAAGCAGTGGAAGGTGTACGTATGTGCTGAAACCAGACAGGGCATGGGCGAGGAAGGCTTTGCAGGCATACACATAAGGTGATATGATGGTTTTGGTTTCACCTGGAGCTACCCTTAGCCCTGCCAACTAAAAAGTAAAAATGTTAAAATTAGAGCCACCCAAACTAGGTGCGTATAATCCTTTCCAATCAGATTACATTCTGTGATTCAGCGAGGAACACCAAGTGAATTTGATCTGCCCCCCCTGCCCCCCGGTTGTCATTTCTAATGTGTGTATGTGAGCATGGGTGTGCATGCATGCACACATGTCTTGCTATGTGTAACCAGGGTATGCAAACCAGGAACATCAAGGTCTGCTCACCACAGTTGTAGCTCCACTGAGGAAGAAAAAAAGCTGTTCTTACTTCCCTTGGGAACTCCAGGACATACACCAGACTCTTGCTATCTAAGCTGGCGAGGCTCCAATCCGCTGCTTCACTGAACTGTGTAGTGCACCCAAGCAATTCTCAGCACCACCACTCCCACCTTCCCTCATGCTTTCTTTCTCTGGCTCCCTAACTAGATTATGGTATATAATTGTCCCCAGCTAATTATCTGCATAGGGATCTGCAGTGCATTAACACTCCACACTGAACACTTAAATGGTAGCCCTGCTCTCCAGGGTGCCAAAACTCTTCTACGCTTTCTTTGTCAGCCAACCAACTCCTCCCATTTATAGCAGTTACAAGAAAAACTTGGGTTGGAATCCAGCAAGGCTTGTACTGTGTCAAGTTATCTCTAAAAGGAATAAAAGGAAAGGTTGGGTAAGTTTCAAAGGCCAAAGAAATCTGGTTTTAGGCATAGTATTTGGAACCAGTTTTAAAATTATGTTTCAGGATTTCGGGAAAGGTGGCTTGTAGAACCAGAGTGTAGCCCTTCTCTGCTCTAACCCTGCTCATTCCAAAAGCAGGCATTCTGTATGCATATTTTAAGGGATAGCCATTTTACTTGATTCAGCAAGCACAGTGGCTGAGCTCAGACAATACAATAACTCATATGTGAGTGTTGGCGAGTGGGTTGTTGTAGTGCAACATGAATTACTGCATTGTCTGAACAAAGCTGTACTAACCAACCATGACTTGTTAACCAAGAACAACCCATAAAGAGAACCCAACATTTGTTATCGGGTTGCAAACTGTGCATTGTTTGTGGTCCACAAACCATGGTTTGTTAGCGTGGCTGTGTTCAGACAGCACAATAACTGACATTTCAACAGCAACTAGTGGTTCGACAGCAATCCACACGCTGCTCATACGCACCCCTTAAGGGTGGCTTATTGTATTACCTGAACCCAACCAATGAAAAGAATCGCTGCACTGAAGCCAGAGTAGCTGTCTGAGCCACCAGGGTGCCACAACACTCCCTGGTGCGCTGGTTTTATGACAACGTGTGGCAAATCTCAACATGCCCCGCAGCCTTGTGAGTGCATTAACAAAGGGGGGTGGGTTGGGCAGAATGCTATGGGGCTCAGGGCTCACAGACTCACGCTAGGAGAGGAGCTGGCCAGCAAAGCATCAGCTTCCCAGTGCACAAGGTCAAGGCAGGCTTCTTGGCTGGGCTGTCCGCAGCCTTCCAGCACTGCTGGGGAGGGGAACAGCTGGGCAGGGGGAGCTGGATGTGGCCGATACTTCCAGGTGGCATTTCTACTCTTACAGCTCATTTTAAATATCATTGTTGCTGTTGCTCCCTACAGGATGGAAGGACCACCCATGAAAATGTTGAAATGGTAGGGGAAAAGACCCATTTTCCTCACTGCCACCCACACAAGTGCTCTCCTTCTTGGTTTTGTTCCTCCTTCTGCATGTTTCTCACATATTGCCATTTTAGCACCAGGGTTGGGGTGAACCTTTTTGGAATCCACCCCGCGAAGCATCGACAGACTTCCTCCCTTCCATGCCTGGCCTGGTGCTGCAAAGTGAGCTGAGCCAAGAGAGTCCACGGATGCACACAGAGCCGCAGCTGCATGAACAGCAACCTTCCCTGTCAGGTGCAGCTACACAAAAAGCAGCAGGGTCAGGCGTGGAAGAGGGGCACGGCTAGCAGTGGCACTGGGAGCCATTACCAGCAAGTGAGCCATTGGTGGAAGCGCCAACATGGAGCAGTGGTGCTTCCAGCAGTGGCACCAGGAGCCATTCCTGGCCACCAAGCCTCTTCTGCACCTGGTGCCACTGATGGTGGCAGCATGGGAGGGGCATGCTGCTCGCACTGTACACGGAGCCTGGTCAGTGCCTTGTAAACACCAGGAGCACTTGCCAGGAACCTGGACTGAGGGCTGCTGCAAAGCAGCCCAGAGCCAGGAGGGCCAAGCCCAAGGAATCCAACGAATTCTCACCCACAGTTGGATCCCTCACACATCCCGACTTGGAAACATGCAGTTAGCCAATCCCATTCCCTAAAAACAAAGGTTTTTCTGAATGTGAGATACCCAAATGTCTCAAACAATTCATACACATTCAGATAACAGCCTTAATAACTGTTCAGAAATCTTCAACTATCTTCCAAACATAAGCTGAACCATTGGCAAAACATGGTTGTATGTGTGAACAAAAGCATGCTGTAAAAGCACAGGTCTGCAGAGTCTGTTCTCGACTTTGCCTTGGGATTTACTGAGATAACCCTGAGAAGGCACCTCAATTTGTTCTGCATCACATCACAGAAGGAAATTACGTTTACATGCTGGATTATGGTTGGGCTCAGTTTACTCCTGCCTCTAAAGTACTTTGAGAACCTACAGCACACATTTTGGCTGCTCAGCCAAATGGGGCATATGGAAAGCAGGGAAAACTAACCCAAAAATCCAGATGGGATTTGATTGAACCAAATTCCAGTGCTGCACGTGAGGTGCTTATGTTGCCTGTTTCAAACAAACCAGTAGAAGAAAACCATTAAACCCATTGCTTTTGAGAGTTTAAATGGGAAACCAAACTGTCCTTAGTCTCACCCTGTTGTCTTTAACTGCCACATAGAGGCACATAGAATAGACTCTGGGAATCATTCACTTGAACTGTTGAGTACCTCTATTAAGAAGAGAAAACATTTCCCAGGATGCACTGGCTATCAGCAAGTTCACTGCTGAATGTTGTTCTCTCTCACCAATATCGACAGGAAGATAAACCTTGTTTATTAGCTTTGTTGAGGCTCTGGTATGACAGCACTCATACTGGAAATCTGCCAGTATGTCCAAATAGTAAGATTTGGTTTGGGCCTTTCCATTTTCTGGGCAGGTGCTTGCCCATTCATATCCCTTTTTTGCACTTGGATGGCTTCCCTCACTTCTTTCCTCTAGCAGCTGGGAGAAGCAATAAGCATTCAGCACGCATCTCTGCTATTATTCTGGAGCATTTCATGCCCTGACCCTTGCAGGCAAACTCTGTATGCCCTGTTCTTTGCAATTGTCCTTCTGCCAGTCTGAGGGCACTGGGCAGATCATGGAGAAACAAGAGGCTATGCCAAAAGGTGCACGCAAATGTACTTATTCAGGGTGCATGCCACCAGGCACATGCCACCAACAGGAAGGAAGTGGTTCAGAATTCAAGCAATCTTTCTGAATGGCCTATATTTGAATACTGATGTCAGAAGCTCTGCTTACAACGCCGAAGCTATGTGCTGAACAAACCGCATTGCTGGTGAAGGACAAAAGGGTTGACATGTGTGAAGAGAACTGTCCTATTCATTAACTGCACACAAAAACAATGCATTAAGGGAAGAAATGCTACGGCTGTCATGCAGAAGCTGGAGCAGGCATCTTCTCTGCTGCTCCAGAGGGCAGGGACAGAACTAATGGAGAGGAATTCCAAAGAACCAGATTTTGGCTAAACATTAGGAGAAAAGTTCTAATGGGAGCAGCGGTTCAGCAGTGGCACAGGCTGCCTTGGGATGAAAGGGACTGTTCTTCACTGGCAGCACGGGCGCAAGATGGGATGACCAGCACTGCAGATCCTGCACCTAGATGGCTTCCAAAAGTCCCTTCCAACTCTAGAGTGGTATGGATGCAGCATCATATAATATAAAATGAGGAAAATACAGCAAGGGTAAAAAGTCGAAAGAGCACGGCTGCATAGCACCAAGGAAGGTCTTGTTTGACAGTGAATGGATGAAACAGGCAAAGACAGGCCAAATGGTAGCTGCCGGCTCCATCCGGAGCTGTGTCAAAAAAGGGAAGCCAAGCAGTGGGAGGCTGCTGACATATTACAGATATAAACAAAAGGCAACTGAGAGGCCTATGGAAAGGACAAAAACCTCTACAGGTTTAGATGTGCCACCCTCCTTGTCCTCCAGAGTCTGCTGGGCTGGAAGCCCACTTGCTTTCCTGACACAGCCGTAAACTATTCCAGACTGTCTTCCTCATTTGCCCTCTCATTTAACAGTTGGGGATACATTATTTGTTTATTCCATTTAACGTCACCTCTTTACTACCCAATAGCTGATGCTCTCTGGGCAGCACACAGCACTTTATTAAAAAAACCCACAAACCATGAAAACAATGCCAACTGCTAAAATTCCAATATACAACATTTAAACCATAGTTTAAAACAACTTGTTTTACTAAAAGTAGATAGACATAAATGCCTCTCCCCACATATGCTACTAAATGTCTCAGAGAAGAGGGCAGCCTAGTACCAAAAGGACTGCAGAGTTGATGTCAGGCTGGCCTCAGTCGTGAGACGGTGCCGTCATTGGCAGCCACCCTGGGAAGGCCCTCCTCCTTGTTGCCACCTTCCAATCATCCCTCAGACGTGGCTTGCAGAAGAAAGTCTCAGATGTTGCTTAGAGTGGCCGTGTAGATTTGGGTCAGAAAAGATGCTCTGTATCTTTGTATTGCAGGCTCAGGCCATGGAAGGCTTTTGGGGTTTGCAGCAGCACCTTGACACGTACAGATAGCCAGTGCAAGCAGGACAGAATTAGTCTTATGCTCAGACCTTCCAGTCTCAGTTATTCGTTTGGCTGCTGCCTTTTGCTCAAGCTACAGCTTCCGAACCCTCTTCAAGAACAACCCAATGTAGAGCACATTGCAATAATCTAACTTGCAACTTAACAGAGCACAGATTACTGAAACCAGGCTATCTCTGTCCTATTGGAGGCATAGCAGGACCAGCAGCCGAAGCTAGTAGAAGACAGTCCATGCCATTGAGGCCACTGAAGCCTCAAGTGACAAAGATGCTACAGATCTGTTCTTTAAAGGGGAGTGCAACCTCATCTAGAACAGGCTTCGGTCTAGTCTGGATTGAGCTTCAGTTTGCTACCCCTCATCCAGTCCATTGCTGTAGCAAAGTACATGTTTAGTACAGCCATAGTTGCATGGTGAAGAAGAGGAGAAATAGAGCTTTGTGTCATCAGCATACTGATCACAGTGCATGACAACACTCTGGCCAGTTGTTGCATGGAGATGTTGAATAGCACAGGAAACAAAACTGACCCCTGAGGAACACCATGCTGGAAGAGCAACAGGTTCCCCAGGTATCACCTTCTTTAGCTGTCCATTCAAATAGGAGCAGAACCCAGCAATGCAATTCCTCATGCTTCCAGCTCAAGCAGTTGCCTGTGGTCAGTGGTACTGAACGCTACGGGGAGATTCAGAAGTACCAACAGGGTCACACCCGCCGTTTCTCTCCCATTATAGGTCAACACACAGAGTGATCAAAGTTGTTTTTGTGCCAAATATGGCATGAATCCCAGCTGAAATTGATCAGTCTCATCCAAGAGTGCCTAGAACTGGATGACTCCCACCTGCTCAAGCACCTAGTCTAGAAAGGGAACATTTGAAATCAGCTTCAAGTAGCCAAAATATCCTGGGAATACAGATGAGGCCTGAAATCACTTAATACCCACAAGGAGGTACTAACCGCTTCTCTGGCTCAGGCAGCTGATTCCTCCCTGCTAACTGTTATAAGCAAGAGGGACAAGAGCCTAGCACAGAAGTGGCTGTAGGAATCTGGCCAAGCATTACCTCAACATCTTTGAGCTACAACAACTGAAACTCATTCAAGAATACTGGACCACACTGTACTCTGAGTACTTCACCTGATCCAGTTTTTGTAACACTGGAGCCCAAGTCCCAACAGATGCAAGAGATATCCCATAAATGACCAGCAAATATGTTATAGTGGACCTCACATGAGTCTACAGTCTCCCTCAGGTTGGCATATGATTAGCTCCAGTACTCCTAAAAAGATCAGCCAGAGAAAAGGGGGAAAAAGTTGCCCTCCCCCTTCCTGTCCAGGGTATTGGATGTAGTAGGCTGTACACCATGTGACTTCTACCACCCTGCCCCTCCTCCCATTAGGATTGCTCTGTCAGTCATTTCAGGATATGGAGGGCAGTGGAAGGATACGGCAGCCATACATACCGGACTGGCTTGGAGACTTGCGAGCTGAATTTGGTGAATTCTCCTGGGGCAGTCCACTCAGAGCCCAGCTAAACAAACCAGAAAAGGTGTGAACATGAATGCCAAATTCAGTGTTTGATAAGAGCAAGTCAAGTGCACTTCCCCTCAAAAAAAGGGGAATCCAACTTGACACTGGTCAAAGTACATTAGAAAATCACAAACTGATAGTTTTGAGCACAAACAGCTTGACAATTTCTTCTCAGATACCAAGTCAGAGGCATATAGCAAGGGAAATGAAGCATATGCCTATCAATCTTCAGGTAATATGCTACCATTCTTAAGGGGTTTCTCCCTGCTATTTTGTAATGCCATTTCTCACCTTCAGGTTTGTCTCTGATCCTACCTGTTCTGCCCCTAGAACTATAAAGTGGGTGCTTTAAAAAAGTTTTCCAAACAATCCTAACAATAATTAATATCAGCTGATGAAAAGCAGAGTGGATAGAAATCCTTGCAAGGAATCACCTCTGAGTCAATTAATGTAATAAAAGTAGGATTTGTCCAATAGCGGGGATCCCATGAACAGACAGATTTGTAACCACTGCCTAAAACGGGTTGGCATTGCCCCACAAGAACTGCCATTCTTTCCCTTTGTAAATGTGTAAGATTTAGCACTGGCCTTTATTGTCTTCATGGCAAAGGCACACAGGGAGTGAGCTACAGCCGTTCTGGGACCAATGGCATTGTATCTCTTGGCTGTGCATGTTGAAAATTTTGCCACAAAGGAGGATGTAATTTTCTTGACTTTTATTGTTAGCAGAAAAGTGAAAAGGTGAAGGCACTGGGGGGAAACTTTACAATCTTGGCATGGGAAGAGCTTTCTCCACCAATCACTTCAGAGTCTCATAGCAGACTACGAATCTATTTGGTGCAGCCCGATGGTGCCATCACTTCCCAGTATCTGGGGGGCAGCCTTTGAAGAACACTGGCCTTGGCAGTGAACATGCCCATGGAAAGAACTGATGGGGAAATCTGCACACGGAAGGGCACACTGAGTGTCTTCCTCATGTCTACTTAGAGATAAACTATACATTATACACAGTTGCATGTTTCTTTCTCCCTAGAGTTCTTCCATCCTACTTCTTCCCCCTTTTTATACATGAAATGCAGATTTAGATCACAATCCTGTGCATGTTTAGATAGTAAAGGGTCCTACTGGCTGGGGAACACTGGGCGCTGTAGGACTTCGTGTTGCCCACACATGCAGAGGATTGCACACTTAGAGGCTCTGCTTTGGGCAGAAAAGCAATGAGAGAGGTACAGCTCGACTCTTTCCCAATCTACCCCCTTCCTGCCTCCTGCCTGAGCTATTCCCTGCATCTTTTCCTCTGTTGGTGGGAAAGCACATGGGATCTGAGGCAACTGGCAGGATCAGTTAAACAGTCATTTGGCATCACTGCTCCTTTCCTCTTGACTGGAGGAATCCAGTCTTCCCTCTTCATGCGCAACACCACCCCACCAAAAGCCATTTCCTGCCAGAGCCCGGACTAAAGCAGCCAGCCAAGTTAGTCTAGGTAGTCATTTTTCTTGGAACAGATAATGAAGACCCTGGAAGAAGTGTCAGCACTGTGGAAATAAGAGACACTGGGCTCAAAATACACACCATGGCAGCCGGCTGAGGTCCTCAAACTTGGGTCTGCCCAGTCACGTATTGAGTAGTGTGTGCAGGGTGGCAGGGAGGACTCTGTCAAGGGACAGGCAGGAGTGCGTGTGCGTGTGGTGCTGGGCTGCTGAGTTCTCCCCTAACGCCCACTCATACACCCCTGACCCGTCCGCCAGAGTCCTCCTCTCCTTTCTTTTTCTGATCCTAGAACAGAACTTGGCTGGAAGAAAAATATCTGAGAGGTGAAGAGGAGTTGTGGAAGGGGAAATGGCGACAGTGTGATCTGACGGGTGTGGGGGGAATGATTCAGCAGGCATTCCTCTCCAGGGCCTAAGCACTCCACCCGAGCTTTCAGGTTGACTGGGGCAGGCACTGACATGTGGGTTGGGGGCCTAAAGCCTTTTGCTTATGGAAAGAGGTAGAAAAACTGATGGTGCATTGGACAAATTCAACAACTCCCATGATCCATGACCATTGGCCACGCTTGTTGTAGTCCAAAATCACAAAACAGCACCAGATTGCCTACCTCTGGTTAAGGAAGACCATAATTTATGAGAGAGACCCAGGACTGAAATCAGATTGAAGTCTTTGTTCCTGGGAAAGGAGAATGTACTCTGAATATATAAATATGGAAGATCATTTTTTCAATAGCTATTAGCTCTAAGTCCTAAATATACCTTGCAACATTTCACAGACAAAAACAACCTCTGTTTCTGAGCTGCTGGGCCTAAAGGGAGGTTCAGGCAGCCTGGCAGCCCAGCCTGGTGAATCATGGGATGGTCCGATTCTTAACTTGTGTGGCAGATGGACATTTTCAATATACACAGCCTGCACTAGCCTAGGAAGAATGGTTACAAAGGTTTAACCAGGCACTCTGGAATCTTTTGCTGAATCTTCATCACCTCGAGCAAGCTGTTAGCATTCAACACAAGTGCACCACTGATACTGAGCGAGTGATACCCTGAGGCCAACATCAGACCCTGCTGTCCAGGTCAAAGAAGTGGATTTTGCTGAATGGCAAAAGAGCACTAAGGCTTTAGAAATCAATGGTTTCATATCAGCATTAGTTCTCTTGGTATCCATTATCTTTATTTTTATGTCTCTATATGGCACAGGAATGCACGCTTTCACAGACTTAGAAAAGTCCAAGCCCCGGAGCAAAACCAGAGGGGATTGCTGGTAATGCTGGTGAAGGACCACTTGCTGAGCAGCTTTCAAGCATTTCGAAGACATCATACCAGAAGGAAGTCTTAATGGGAATTTTGAAAACTGCTGAACTGTCTACATGATGCTATTTCCATTAGTTCCCAGCTTAGCTCTTTGCCTAAAGAGAACTTCTTCTCAGTCTAAAAAGTGTTTATAGAAAGAGCCAGGTTTAATGTTTTAAATACAAACCATTTTGCCAGCTATCAAACTGCAAAAACCAAGCTCTCCCTTCTAGGGAGAAAAGGGCTCGCTTGTTCCATAACATCATTTTTTTAAACCTCTCTGTAAGCAAGTTCACTTTGCACCCCATATGGAAACAAGAGCCTTACGTTCTATTCAGAACAAATTGGAGAAATATCCACCAAATCTGTGCATAACCTCTGAATCAATGTTAGTGAGCAAATAAGGCTGCTTCAGATTGTGAACCACAGCTGCAGAAAACGGGGCTTTAGCATAAAACATCACCATCACAACAGGATAGCATTGGGAGCAGACGCACATATACACATATTTGTGTAATAGATCCAGGTTTTAATTATGCAGCCTCCAGATGTAAGGATCACAGCTGAGTTGGCTTGAGGTTTATATGGCTCCCAGTGGCAGTACTATTGGTTCCATTTACATTTAACTATCCCAGCAAGGAACCAGGGAGAGGATGCCAGATGGCACTGCCTGGAAGAAGACAACAAGAATCACATCTATCCACAGAAATTATCATAAGTCTATGGCTCTTACTATTGCAGTGCTAGGAGCTAGAACAACGTGAAAGTAGATGCTCACCTTGCCCACAAAGGCTACCAGACGTGCATTGGCTGGAGCCTCATCAGAGCTTAGCCAAAATTCAGAGTTATCATCCGAAGCTACTGAAAACTGGAAGTCCCCTGCAAGACAAAGAAAAGAGCTTAGTTGTGAGAGGGATGATAGTACCACATCATGAGGCACGTGCACCCTGGATACACCTTTGCAAGTCACTGTGTCACATGTCTTGAAGTGCAGTGGGTTTCAAAGTGCCTGGAGGCACGTTTGGGTATTGAAAACAAGTGGGGATGATGGGGAAGAGTGTGTTTCTCATATGGCTACTCTAGACAGGAATAGTTAGCTGGAGGCTTTCTGAAAGTATACCCTGCCACACACTTCCTCCTGTACTTATAATTACACTATTGGCCTATTTTTAATGTCGTTGGTCACTTAGAGAATCCCTAGAGGCCTATTCAGTGGCCTGTAAATTTGCAAATAAATACAATAAATAAAACCACCTGACCTAGGGAAGACAGTAACCTGCCCTATGCAGTAGCTCCTGGGAGAGCCTCCCTCCCTCCCTCTACCCCTTGTGAGAGGTTCGGAGCTTTCCGATACAAGGCTGGTAGTCTGCTTCTGGTTTCATTGCTGAACTGATACTCAAGCTGTACAGAAAGAGCTTTTCCTTCTCAGCTTTCCCGCTACATACCATATTTTTTGCTCTATAAGATGCACTTTCTTCCCCCTCAAAAGTGAGGAGAAATGTCTGTGCGTCTTATAGAGCGAATGTGTGTGTGCCCGACGCCCGGGACGCTGCCGGCCCGCCTGCACCACGTGGCACCACCTGGCCGGCACGCGCTCGGCGCGCCTTGCTCCGCCCTCCCCCTCCAGCGCAGGTGAGAGCTGTGCTGCTCAGGGGGAGCGGTGCAGAGGAGGAGCCGCGGGCTTTAACCCACCGGCCACACGGGGAGACGGACTGCTCACCCCCACCGGCCGGGAAGACCTGCCGCGGAGGAGGAGGAGCCGTGGGCTTTAACCCGCCGGCCGCATGGAGAGACGGACTGCTCACCCCCACTGCCCTGGAACTGCTCACCCCCATCGCCTGGTAAGACCTGCTGCCGCCGTCGCCGTGCTGCCCGGAAGACCACCACCGGCACGCTGCCGGCCTGGCTGCACCACACCTGGCCGGCACGCGCTTGGCGCGCCCTGCTCCACCCCCCCTCCGGCACAGGTGAGAGCTGTTAATCACAGGTCGGTGTGTGTTTTCAAATGGCAACCCATCTTTTAATGAAGCCCATGGGGAAGTGATGGGGAATGTGCCTGTGATTATCAGGAAGCTTTCCATGGATCCCTCCTCTAAAAACTAGGTGCGTCTTATGGTCAGGTGTGTCTTATAGAGCGAAAAATATGGTACTGGTGAGAGCTAGTGTGGTGTAATGGTTAAGAGCATGGGACTGGGACTCAGACGATCTGGGTTCTAGTCCCCACTCAGCTATGGGGCCAACTAGGTGACTTTGGGCCAGTCACAGGCTCTCAGTCCAACCTACCTCATAGGGTTGTTGTTGTGGGGATAAGATGGAGGAGGAGATGTAAGCTGCCTTGAGCCCTTGGTAGGAAAAAGGCAGGATATAAATTGAAAAATGACCTGTGCAGGGAGAAGGACAGGGGGAGTGCGTCCCTGTTGGTTCTCCTGGACCTCTCAGCGGCTTTCGATACCATCGACCATGGTATCCTTCTGGATAGGCTGGCGGGATTGGGGGTCGGAGGCACCGCTTTGCGGTGGTTCCGCTCCTATCTCAACGACCGATTCCAGAAGGTGGTGCTGGGGGACTATGGCTCTGCGCCATGGCAGCTATGCCATGGAGTGCCGCAGGGGTCCATTCTGTCCCCATTGCTGTTCAACATTTACATGAAACCGCTGGGAGAGGTCATCAGGAGGTGTGGGCTGCGGACCCATCAGTACGCTGATGATACCCAGCTCTACCTCTCGTTGTCCACCAATCCAGGTGAGGCAGTGGCTGTACTGAACCGGTGCCTGGCCGAGGTAATGGGCTGGATGAGGGCCAATAAACTGAAGCTCAATCCAGACAAGACGGAGGTCCTGTTGGTTGGCGGTTCGGGCTTCGGAGAAGGTGACCTGAACCTTGTCCTGAATGGGGTTGCACTCCCTCCTAGGGACAAGGTCTGCAGCTTGGGAGTGCTCCTCGACCCGGAGCTTTCACTTGAAGCTCAGGTGACAACAGCGGCGAGGAGCGCTTTCCTCCAGCTTCGGCTGATTCATCAGCTGCGCCCCTACCTGGAGTACGACTGCCTTGCAACAGTGACTCATGCGCTGGTGACTTCCCGTCTTGACTTCTGTAACGCGCTCTACGTGGGGCTACCCTTGAAGACGGTCCGGATACTTCAATTGGTTCAGAATAGAGCTGCCAGGCTGCTGACGGGGACTGGACGTTATGTTCACATGACGCCAGTTCTCCGTCAGCTTCACTGGCTCCCCATTGAAGTCCGGGCCCAATTCAAGGTGTTGGTAATGACCTATAAAGCCCTAAACGGCTTGGGTCCTGGTTACCTGAAGGAGCGCTTACATCCATATTTGCCCAGTCGCCCCCTGAGATCGGCGGGAGAGGCCCTTCTCCGGGAGCCCTCCGTGAGAGAAATTAGGAGGGTGGCTACTCGGAGAGGGGCTTTCTCAGCGGTGGCGCCTAAGTTATGGAATGCGCTCCCCAGAGAGGTCCGCCTGGCGCCGTCGTTATTTGTTTTTCGGCGCCAGGCTAAGACCTTTTTATTTAAGCAACATTTTAAATGCTAAATACAATTGAATTTTATCTGGCCAGGGCGGCTTATTTTATAATGTGTGTTTTAATTAAGATTATTTTATATGGATTTTAACTTGTTTTATCTATGTTGTAAGCCGCCCCGAGGCTTCGGCGAATGGGGCGGCATAAAAATGTTTTAATAAATAAATAAAATAAATAAAAAAAATAAATAAAATACTCTGCAGATAGGCTCGTGCTATAGCAGAATAATGCAATTGCACGAGAAAAATGTTTCTCTTTGCTTTCATTAATAGTACTCCATTTTTCTCACAACCCCAAAAAACAGAAGCGAAATGGAAGGGTTGTCTCATTGTGTCACATACCTGTAAACAACCATGAATAAGTAATGATAACCCTACAGTCAATGCCTCGAGTGGAAAGGATCTCAGGGGAAGGGGAAGTCATTTGTGGATGTCTAGAAAAATATCTCTGCCTGAGGGGAGTAGGAAGGGTCCAGGAGTGAAACTCTGAAGCCAAGCCCTTGAAAGCACAATGAGGGCATGGTAATTTGACTCACCATCTTTGAAAGGATGAATGTACCCAAATATACGTAGCCCGTAATTTTTCCACTTGGGTGACACGGCCAACTTCTTCACTGTTGTGCGAGTCTAAGGACAAGAAGGACAGGGAAGAGTGCTTGTGCACCATGTTCCACAGCACCATTGTTGGGTAAACACCGCCCATCTATCTTGTGCACATGTTTTCACGCTGCAAACCAGATCTCCCCAAAAAGATCTCCCCCCACTCAGGGCATGCCTTTGTGCCTCTTGACAATGCAACCAGCAACCAGCTGTGACAGGTTGATGGTTATGTGACCATCCCGCAATGCGTCCACCCAGGTTCAATGAAGCTTCTCCACTCCTTCCTCCCCTCTCTTTCTCCCTTGGTTCTCCTGTGGCAAGAGCGACCTGGTTAGGCTGTGGTTAGACCAACCTGCCTTCTCACTCCCTGCTGCCACGGCAAGCTGTTTTTGGCTTGCTGCAGCTTTTTGTCCCTCTGTTGCAGAGCTTGCAGAGCCTGGCTAGTCAGTTGGCTTTTGTGATCCGTGTTTAAAAAGGTAAAGGTAAAGGTTTCCCCTTGACGTGAAGTCCAGTCATGCCTGACTCCAGGGGGCGGTGCTCATCTCCGTTTCCTAGCCGAGGGAGCCAGCGCTTGTCCTCAGGCAGTCTCCGTGGTCATGTGGCCGGCATGACTAAACACCGAAGTGCACGGAACGCTGCTCACCTTCCCACCGAAGTGGTGCCTTTTTATCTACTTGCATTTGCATGCTTTCGAACTGCAAGGCTGGCAGGAGATCTGTGTTTAGACAACCACTAATAGCTCACCCCGTGCCCAAGCTGCACCTTGGAGGGCTGCCAGTAGGTGGCAATCTTTCTTAAAAATTAGTGTTGCACACACAGTGTGCACAACATTTTTATCCTCCCTCCCTTAGGTGCAGTTGCACATGTGTGGGAATGGGAATCCTCAGGTGGACAATTGTGTGTGTGTTGGGGGGGTGTACAGATTTGTCCAACTCTGGACAAGGAAGGTCCAAATAGGCTCCCCCACCCACCCCTTTCTTTTCTCTGGGCAGCTCTCAAAAGCCAAGCTGTCAAGAGAAAGCAAAGACACCAGTGACCTTAGCTCACAAAAAGAGGGTGGTGAGTTCTATACCCCTGTTGTGGTGAAATCCTCTCTCCCATCGCCCAGCCCTCAGGGTGATGCACATTTTGATTTTTTCCCTGAAACTGCTCAGGAAAGTATGATATTGTGTCCCAGCCCATTTTCCTGGGGCAAAGGAGTTTTGGACTGGGACATATAGCTGTCATCCCTTTGCGAAGGAAAACCTCCTTTTTGCAAAGTGTGATCTCTTGGTGCTTTCCATGGCAGGAATGATGTCCAGGTATTGTCGAAGCTGTTACTTCCTTGAAAAGCGGGAGGGGAATACTTAGCTCCAGGCACTATTGGGGGAGGGCGCTTGAAAGATTTTGCCAGCAGGTACCTACCCGAGGGTCCCCCTTGGAGTAACCATCTGGCCTTGTTTGCACAAACAGGGTGGTCAGATTAAATATATATATATATATACCGTGCAGGCCTTTTTGAGCTCAATGAGCAGCCCTTCCAAGGCAGTGATAGCCACCTTTCACATTAAAAAGAGCTTCACTTAAGAAAAAGGCAAAGTGCAGCAGGCTGGAAATGGTTCGCGATTTCAGGCAGAGGATGAAGCTGGAGGAACCTGTGGTGTCCCTTGGAGATTCTGCAGAGGAGCGGAAGTGCCTGAGATGCGGCTGGAGGCACTTGGAGGGCCCCAGGCTAAACAGCTTCCAAGGACTTCCTGGGCCATGCAAACCTGCTAAGTGTCTCTTTCAGGTGTTCATCCAGCTGCTCCACACGTAACATGAGCCTTCAGCAGATGTGTCATTGTAAGGCACTATTAAAGGCGTGCACTGAAGCCACATTGCCATAGGCCTAAGCTCCTATACTAGCTTCTGATTTTGAGAAAACTCCCTGAGGTAGTTGCTTTGAAGCACTGGGTTCCACTGATATGATCATAGGGAGATGGGTTACCACACCAGTCTACTGAATTCCATGGAAGTAATTTCTCTTTTTGATTTTATTAGCAAATGAAAATTCAGTGCAACAGTGGTTAAAAATAGTTACTGCACAGAGAAACAAACAGAAACCACATTCCTGGAATTTATGCAAGAAGTGGCATCTTCATCATGCAGAACAGCTTGTACTCACATGAGGGTAGAGGGGGAAATGCAGATTCTCTCTTAGATCTCCCACAGCTCCTCCACACCAGTCCTCAAATACGTGCAGGTTTGCTTTCCCTTTGTACTGCAGAACAAGATGGCAGCATTCAGGCTACGGGTCAACTCTGACTGCTTTACTGTACAAACGCTCGCACACACGTACAAGGGCGTCCAAAGGCGTGTGCATGTCATTTCAAGCATACTTTACCCATTTGCTCAATTTCTACATGGCCCATTAGTGGAAGCTCTTTGGATGGTTCACACAATGGAGATGAAAAGTGCAATGCACATACACACAGCCAAACAATTGAAAGTCTAAACCAAGTAAGAATAAAGCCAAAGGGAAGAGCGGGCAGGTCAGAAAGCCCTTATTTCCACTTCCATCTCTTTCCGGTGGCTAGCCTTACTATTTCTTTTCCCCATCACAGTTCTTGACTAGTCAGGCCCCACTGTGTGACTGGCCACATCCTCCATGAGAGTCCTTTTGCTTTGTGTTCACAGCAGCTTCTCAACTTCCCAAATATAGCCATGAATCCACAAAGGCCAGGGACCCCAACTTAAGAACAGCCAGTTCCCCTGCTCTAGATTCCAACCCTAGGATTGGTCTGGATCTTTTTTCTGGGTCTGGATCATGCTTTCTAGTGTTTTGTGTCAGCCAGTCTCACTGTGGTTAACACGCTGCTATTTCACACTGCTATTTCACCCAGCTGAAGAGGCACACTGTGTATTCTGGTACCAAGTGTATTCCTTATCTCTCATTAGTCACACATGCCATCATTTCTAAAAACAAGTGAATATATGAAAAATGGAGCCCCAAATCACTGTGAGCAAAAACGACTGGGTTATTTGCAGTTCTCTTCTGCATGACTAGCTCTCTTTGAAAGGCAGTACTTTGAGTTCTGAGCAGTGAACAAATTGGCACCGAGTGCTGAGCCTATGGACTGAGCTGGGATCTGGCCCAGTGCGATGCAGAACATGCCACCTCCATTAAACCAAGCCATGCTGCCAGTGCCTTAGACATCCGGTACTGCACTGCTTCCTCCTTGGGCATCTTGTATGGTGTGCTAATCTATGACGCAATGAGCAAAACAAAAGCTGGGCCTGGAAAGATATATGGCCATACAGATCAACGCCAAGGCCCTTAACTGCAGCAAAAGGTTAGGTAGATATTTCCTGACTGGGCAGAATCTGATTTTAAAAGCAGGTTCACACCATCCAGCTTTTTACGGCTCACAGCCAGCATTTCAGCTGGCATTTGGAATGGTCACGGTCTCCTTCTATAAATAATAGTCACATGCTGGCAGTAGCTATGCTTGGTTAACAACTGTGCCAATACTGATACTAAGCTCAGCTAATAAACATGCCACACTATCTATGTCAATCAAGGCTCCTATGGACGGATACAAGCAAATCTGTACCACTGCATATGAAATGAAGCCTTCCTCGTTTCAGCTATGTGCAACCCACAATAGCGACAGGTGAGTGCAGTCCATCTCCCAGATGGTGCCTGCTAGCAATACTTCCCATTTGAAACAGCATGCCTGGTATGAGTAGACCATCTGTCCAGTATCCAAGCTGTTCCAGAGGGAGCTGCCATCCCGCTAAAGAAGCAGGGTTCATCGTTTGGGGTGCTTTTAGATCCATAACGTTCACCAGAAGCACAAGTGGCTTAGAGTGCCTTTTATCAATTCAGGCTGATATTCACACTCTGGGAAACTCTCACTGGGATTACTGTGATGTGGAGCGGCTTCTGAAAATAGTCCAGAAACTTCAATTAGTTCAAAATATGGCTAGAATGGCCACTGAGATCAGATTATGTGGGTACTTCTTCATCTGCACTGCTTGCCCCCAATTGAAGGCACTGGTTTTTACCTTTAAAGCCCTAAATGGCTTGAAGGTTACCTGAACACTTCCCTCCATATGTACCTACCTGGATATTAAGGTCATTGTTTGAGACCCTCCTCCAGATGCTCCCACCAAAGAAGGTGAGGCCCACGGGAGAGAGCCTTCTCAGTGCTGGCATCGCATTTGTGGAATGCTCTCCCCAGAAAGACTCACCTGGAACTTGCTTTATAATATTTTTGACACCAGATTAAGCACTTTTTATTTTCTCGTGCTTTCTAAGAACTGTTTTTAGAGCTTTCAGTATTTTGTTCTGCTGCTGGTTTTAATTCTGTTTTGCATGCAGTAATGGTTTATCCTTTGCGGCTGATTTCATCTTGATTTTATTCTGCTCTTTTTTATATTAATGCGTGTATAGTTTTATTTATTTATTATTTATTAAAACATTTTTATGCCGCCCCATTTGCCGAAGCCTTTTCAATAGTTTATGCCACCTAGAGATGTTATTGGTTACTGGGATGCTTAAAACTATATTAAATAAATGTTGCCATATAAAGCCAGAAATCATTATATTGCAAACATTAATTTTAAACCCATTTAGTTTTTACTGAAATTCTCAAAGATCTGTGGGAACTGTAGTTTTGTGAGGATGCTGAGAAATGTTGCAGGAGAATCCTAGCCTACACACAAGATCTATAATTTTTCAGGTCTTGTGGGGAATCTGCGGCACTTTAATTGGTTTAAGTTTGTAGTAAAGATCTGCCCTACTTCTAGCAGGCTGGTTTTTCCTGCCAAAACCTTTGTCTTATAATTTCTTAATTTCCTTCTCATTATTTTCAGCCCGCTGAGGTTTATTCTACTGGTCAAACACAATCACCTAATTAATTGACTATATATGCAATATACTTATTCTTTCATTATTACTATCAGCCACACTTTTCTCAGTATGAAAGAAAACATGGGATTGTTTCACATAGCATTGTAGCATAATGAAGATTCGGAAATGTTCTTGTATTACATCAAGACTGCCGCCATTGTAGATTGGAACATTTTTGCATCAGGTCAATGGCTTGTACTTTCCAAACTAAGTTAGTCTGAGAAAACACTGTGCTTTGCCTTTGATCAAGCTATCAAGTGTTATGGTGCTCTTTGCACATTTGTAGAACTCATGCGTAAAGGACATTGCAGGAATAATTAAGGAGCTACAAGGAATGAGAAATGGTAGACTGGAGCATTTATTCATCAGTAGGTCTTCTTAAAGGATAGTTGCTCTAAACTGTTGCTAGGAACTGTAGGCTGGTGCCCTTCGTTACCATGAAATGTGCTTGTGGACAAGCTGGCTTGCCTATGGCAACACAGAACTGGTGCACATATTTATGACTTTATGCATCCCTTGCAGTGAGTGTATCATGGAAAAAGCTAGTACAAGAAGCGACATGTTGGTTTTGTACAGACAAGGGGATTTGACATGGTGACTCCTTCAAACAAGTGGTGAGAGATGAGCTTGGGATCTGTCTACTGAGGTGAACAAGGTGACCACAACCGTTTGCAGCACCACATGAGCAAAAACTGCTGACCTCAGCAATGGGTCTTTGTCCTGAGTATGTTCTAAGCCACCCAGACCTTGGTGGTAGAGTAGAAAAGCTACATTTTTGGTATGATCTGCAGCACAGCACCACCTGCAGGCATCATTATCCCAACACTCTGTTCGAGCTCCTATTTACAGAAGATGGAATGAAGGCAGATATCCACACTAGACACATGGAGTAAGTTTATAGTGCTGTATCTTAATGTGTAACCTCAGGAACTTAAGCTCCCTGTTGTGTCCCTCTTGTTCTATCACTTTTTAATTTTAAATTTGGAAGCCACCCATTTTCCCGTAACAATTCCTCAAGGCAACATACAACAATACAGCATACAAAACCACCCCAATAAATGCTCCAACAGCTAAAACATCTAAAAAAAACCCCCAAGTAAAATAAAATTCAGCATCTTAAGCTATCAGGAGAAATAAAAATTACTTATGAAACAGTACAAATTAAATGTGTCAACTGCCCCAAATGCTTGGGGTGGAACAGAACATCTTGAACAGTTTCTTAATAATCATAATAAATTGTTGCTCTTCTTTTGTGAGGAGGTTTCCAAGGGTTGGTACCAACTAAGAAAAGGTCCTGTGTCTTGCAGCAACCAGTTTTTTCTCTAAAGCAAAGGGACATGAAGCAAGACCTCCAAGATTACTGCAGTGTATGAGGAGGGCCATACGAGAGCAGTGTTCCTTTAAGTATCCTAAAACCAATCTGTGCATTGAGCCAGAGAGCAGAGCCAGCCCTACCATAAGGCAGAGTGAGGTGTAGCGTCAGATGTTAGAGGGCAGCCATTGACAGTTAGGATTTGAGGACACCACTCTCGGTGCCTCATGGCCTGCCCTCTGCTCCCTGAGCTAGCCCGCTGCCCTTGGTTCGGCAAAGGACACTGTCTTATCATTAGTGCTGAAGTAAGAGTCAGTGCTAGTCCAGCCATCTTTGATAAGTGGAATGGCAGAGCATGGAGGTACCATCTTTGCCTTAGGCAGCAAAGTGTCTTACACTTGTCCTGTTGAAGAGCCATTTTCCAGCCTTGCAGGGAAAGAGCTGCTCTCCCCCTCACAGCACAGGAGCAGTAACATTTGAGACACTGTGAAGGGCAGGATATAAAAGCTTTAAACAAATAAATAAATAATTTGAAAGATCCTGGCACTTCTTGCTCAAGGTCAAACCCAGGAGCTATTATAGTTATGAAAGCAGGGCCAAGGGGGCTTCAGGGAACCTTTCAGTTTTAAGGGAGCAAGAGGTGAGCCATCCTACAGTGACTCCTAAATCTACATCCTTCTGGGATGCTGACACGGGACCTCTTCTCTCTTAATCTTCTTCTTCTTCTTGTAATCTCAGCACAGATCCCATCCAAACAGTGATTAATGGCCTTGGCCTGCTTCCTGGATCCAAGGCTGTGAATTACAACCTGGCACATCTCAGATGCTCCTCTCGAGGTATTTTTGTGCCACTAACAATGGGGGCTGGATCATCAGCCGGTCCAGATGCATTGCTTCAGTGAAGTCAATGGTGCTTAACTAATCCATAGCCGCTGAGGCTGAGAACGAAATCAAGTGCTGGGAAGGTTATCAAGGTGAGGACCACGCCAACCCCTTCCCTAAGAAGCTATCATACCGCCCCATTGCTATGCACTGTATCAGTGTGTAATAAAACCCACAAGCACTAGGGAAGCTCCCACTCTTTGGAGGCAGGAGCTAAATGTTTTAGGACAGATTCTTCAATAGGTGCCATGTATGTCAGACTTGTTACTTTGCACAAAGCCACTGTGGGATGCTGCCGAGCCTTCTGTGAAACCTCACATATACCTGAGCACTGGACAAATCAATGAACAAAGCCTATTAAGTGCTGCAGCATGTCCCAGACTTCTTCTGCCCAGTTGCTGATCGTGCTTACTGATCTGCAGGATTTGCTCATTCATGATGCAACTCCTCGGTCTGACTCCGCGATGAAACTGTTTCTTTCTCCCTGGGCATTGCTCAGCACCACCTCTCCCGCTCTCCCAGCCATCAGAACACATTCTGCCATCAACTGCACTTCTCTGCCACACCACCTGTTCTCCAGGGGGTCCCTGTGCCTGTTGTGGTCACAGCCAAAACACTGGCTGAATAATGCATGAGTTCATTATGCAGGCAGGTGTCTAGGCACAGGCTTCCAGCTATCTGGGCTGCAGTCCTGGTTTAACCCCCAAATTAGGTACAATAAAACTCTACTAAAGAATCAATGGGAAGTGAGCTGGACCAAAGATGATGGAGCCAGATGGATGAAATGCTAATTGATCTCTGATCTGCCTTGGCTGTCTGGGCTAATTGGGGGTTTCTGTAAAGTCCTCTTCATCAAGATTGAAAGCCTGCACTCAACCATTATGGGCTTGAAGTCTGGAAAGGGCTCAGATATTGCTTGTGAGAGACAAATTGTTTCATAGTAGATTAGGTTGAATTATTAAAATTCTGTGAAATTCGAAGACATGAGTCAACACAGTGGATCATCTAGTCATGCCTCCTCTCCTAGGATCTCCTAGCAATTACAGAATACCCAAAGTACCCAATTTAGCTAGCAGACAAGCTAATGTTGACCATTTTGGAGCTCTGGAGCCACTTTGGTCACCATCTTCTATTAATTTTTTTCTACCCATTGTAGGTGTTTTGTAGCCAACAGAGGGAGAAGACTGAAAATGGACCCTGGACCTCCCACAGTTAGCAACTCCAATTTAAGGCATCAAGGTAATGTGTATTAGGGCTTTTTTGGGGGAGGGGGGAATGAAGATAAGGGAAACCATCCATTGTGAAAATGTTCTATGGAAACGTTACTGCAATGAATCACAACGAGTGAAGTCTGCATTGCTCTTATACAGCTCTTATTTCATTTCACTGCAGCTTCAACAAGAAGGCATCCTAGCACAGCCTTCCCTAATCTGGAGCCCTACATATGTGCTGGATTACAGCTCCCAGGATTCCAGGCCACTAGCCATGTTGGTTGGGGCTGTCGGAGTTGTAGTCCAAAACATCTGAGGGCTATCAGTTTAGGAGACCCTGGTCCATTGAACTGTAGCCCGAATCCCCAATGATTTCACCTTTTATCACCTGGAGATAACTTCCTTCCTTGCAAGTGTGGCTTGTTCAACTTACCTGTTCATTCCACGGCAGAACATATCGGGTTATGTTTGGTTTGGGGGGTCTTGCAGCTCTGTCAAGGCCACGTAGTTTTGAAAACCACCCATTAACCCCCTGCTCTTCTACCTGCAAAAAGCAGAAACAACCACAAGTGAAGCACTAATAAATGGATATGTCCCACAAAGGTCCCAGGTGAGAGAACAACATAGAAAATGCTAACTCCATTGCTATAATTAACCTTTTCCAGAACAACTTGCCCTCCATTTGGCAGGATCAATTATCTACTGCAGTAAATTGGCCAAGGTCATCCCACACCAATATAACACTCCGTGCATTAATGCAAATAGAGCATGTCCCCCTCCCCACCACCCTACCTCCAAAGTCCAACTTATTAAAATGACCCCAGGCAGGAAAGACAGGGGGATTTTACATCAAGACAATGAAGAAGAGAATACAATAATCGTATGACCACATGACTAGAACACTTATTAAGAAAGCCACAGGTTCTGCTGCATCAAGATACTTTACAACGTGTGAGATGAGATGATGAACAAAATACAGCAAGTGGGGGCTTAACCTGGTTGTGTGATAAGTACTGATTTAAATTCCTTTTTCCCTCCTATAATATTATAGGAAAGAATAATGAGGTGCACTCAGGATGTTGATTATACATAGGGGCGCATGCATGTAGTTCACTGCATCCCATGATTATGTCTGAGGAGCAGAGGGTGGCGTGTGGTCATATGGCCCAGCTGGTTATTTTTAAGGAAAGATGGAGAAAGGATTAAGCACCTTGCTCCCACACTGCTTTCCACTCCCAATTGCCCCCCTCCTATTCATAAGAGGAGGGTAGATAGAGTACCATGCCATGTGCTGGTATGTAAGGGGCTTGGTCCCTTAGAAGAAATGCTGCTCTGTGTTTAGTGAGATGATTCTTCTTCTGTGGCTGGAACTCCAGTCTGGCTTGGCCTTTTGCTTCTTGTCATGCTATGGACTGGAACAAGTTTTGCAGATTTGAAACAAAGAACCAAGGAAGATTCTATCAGCCATTTACTATCCAATGCCAAAACGTGCCACAAGAGCTGCTTATGAACAAACTGTATTTAGGGGTGGATTTCTCATCCAATCAGCCCTTCTTTCCAGTGCTAACTGGGAGCAGCAAGCGTGATGCACCACATACTGGAAACTGGGGGTTCAAAACAGATGGGATAGAAAAAAGAGCTCACACGTGTTCCCGAGCTGCAGAGGCGCTTCCTCCTATCATCAGAGTTCAAATTGCAGACATACGTAGCAGCAAAACAAATGCTGGCTTGGTGATGGGTCTTGCACCCCTACCCCTTTTCCCCATGGTTTGGGTGTGCTGTCCCTTTCTGAAACATGCTTTCAAGGGCCACCAGCATGCCTATCTTGTGCACATTTTATCTTTATTAACTAGAGGGGGAAAAAACCCTGAAACTACCCTAAATGTAAAATGGGGTGGGTGGGGATTTGGTGACATCCCGTGGTGCCCAGCAATGTGTATTCTACAGACTCAGCTTCCGCTATGCATTCACAGAACCACTTTTTTTACACAGGCCAAAATGGAGAGGAAGGGTAAGCTTGGTTAGAGTCAGCACAGTGAGCCCATATGGCTCATTACTTCCAAATGTTATGCCCGTTTTATTTTCCGCAATGCTATACAGACATATTTGGGAGTAAATCCTATTGAAATCAGTGATATGCTTTTCTGAGCTCATGTGATACAGCTAGGATCCTGAATTTATTTATTTGGAAGTAAATCTTTACTGAAGAAAATGAAACTTACTTCCAAAGGAAGTATTTTTAGGATTGGGTTTTGAGGTAGCTTCTTACATGATTCTCACATCTGTTAGAAGGAATGGCTAGAACAAGGGACAGATATACATCATTGGTATATATATGGATGGGAGTTATATATCTGGAATGCACCAGGTTAGAGAAGCCTGTGGATAGCATTCCTAGAGTCCTTCTGAAAACACCTTAGCCTTCAAGACATCTACTCTCTTGACTGGGTATTTTACAGCCAATCCTGCTTCATAATGTATATAAAAGCTTATTTCTGAACCTCAAAGACTAGTTCACACATAACACTGACCCATGATTTGAGTTACTGAATTCTGAGTTATCATGATATCATGGGAACACTGCCCTATGAGGAGAGACTGAGAGAACTGGACATGTTCAGCCTTGAGAAGAGAAGACGGATGGGGGAGATGGTATCACTCTATAAGTACCTAAAGGCTGTCACAAAGAAGGTCAAGATCTCTTCTTACTGATACCAGAGTGTAGGACACGGAATAATCAAATCAAGCTGCGACAATCCAGAGTCAGGCTAGATATCAGGAAACCTCACTGTCAGAGCAAAACAACAGTGGAACCAGCTGCCTAGAGAGGTGCTGGGCTCTCCCACACTAGAGACATTCAAAAAGAAACTGGACAGCTATCTGAGTGGGAAGGTGTAACTTGGTGTCCTGCAATAGCAGGGGGTTGGACCCAACAGCCTTCATGGCCCCCTCCAACTCTACTACTGTATGATTCTATGAAAAAATAGGTTGGAAGTATAGGTTAGAACTCTGGGTTGTTCATGGGTAAATTCACCAGGCTACAGAAGAGGTAGGTGAGAGTAGTAAAATAAGCAGTCACTCTACATCCCCAGTACTCCTGTGTTACAAAGGATACGGGAAGGGAGCAGGCAAAGGAGATGGGAAACAAACCACCCAGGAATTGAGAAAAGAGCTGCTGTTTATTTGATTGTCTGCCGGAAAAAACTTAAGACAGGGCAAGGTACCACAGGCTAAAGAAAGTCTGAACCAGGTCACAGAGCCAAGTCCACTGGAAACATGTCCAGTTAGAGTCAGAGATTTCTGGCTCAGGTTGGGGCTTCAGGGCAAGAGGGAAGAGACCCTGATTCAGCAGAAAGTGGCTGTGGAGGAACATAAAACAGCACAAGGGTGCTCATCTGGTATTTCTGCAGAAAGAAACTGTACCAAATAAGGAGGATACACAAAAATGGCTGGAGGACAGGTTGATATGGAGGGCCCTCTTACCCTCTAGGGCAATTTGCATGTACTTTGCCCTCATGCCCACAACTCCAGCACTATGAAGCCAGCAGGAAATGAGTCAGGCTTGCCCGAATCAGGTTGTGCCATCCATTCTTCATTATGAAGTGACAAATTACCCCTGCGATTAGGGTACTCAGAAAAGGAAACAGCAGCCTCTGTCCGTAACAAATGACTCCTCGTCAAATTCATCCTCTGGATGAATCAATTCTCAGCCAGCTGCAGCTAGTGAAGAGAGGAAGCATAAACTACCTCTGGAGCTTCGGCATCAGCAGCGTGCCATGTGACCTTCGCCCTGGTTCCAGACAATACCTGAGCCGTAAACTACGCAAGAATGCTATGGGCACACAGAAGGAACTGGAGGCTGGCCTGAAACAGAACTGGCAGGCAAAGGGAGCTGCCCATGTCTTGCCAATGTGTGGCATGACTTTGAGAAGACCCCTCAGCAGCAGGTTTCCCTCCAGTGACACACGTCTGAAGAGTGGGCTTCAAACTCACACAGAGCCCCCTCCCTTTTCTCCCCTTGGAAAGTTTTCGTATATTGGTGGAATAGCAATATGATGCCTCCTTTGTCCTCAAGGTGTCTCTATACACGACACATCCCTGAGGTTATTTGGCAGCAAAATGGCTACTACAACCTCTCTTCTCAGCATGGCTCTTCATGGCACACTGTGCCTTCCCCCAAAACATTGCTCTGCAGCCTCCCTCCTGCTCTCAAGTGTGCGATCAAACCTCCAGAAGAGAAATCTTCACACAGGCAGGCAGCAGAGATTATTATAGCCTCATCCAGCCAGGGCAAGGAACAAAAAAGCCTTTGATGGCAGCCGCATCTAATAGTATTATTTCTGAGCTGACTTCCACTTACTCCAGACAGCTCCTCAGAAGCAAGCAAGGGGCTGCCTCTTAAGCGGAGGCCAAAGCCTATTTGCAGGGAGCTGATCTGACAAGGTCTTGGGGTGGGTAGGTGCGGTTGGAGATTAATATGAAAATGCCCCATTTCGTGATCTCCGCTCTGAATCATAGATAGGTCTGGTTCCAATGCAATAAAATCCTTTGCCTTTTAAATGGCATTCTAGTATTGGTGCACTGTGAAAGCAAGGAGCCCTTCCCAGGATAAATATACATGGAAAGTAAGCACATGCTCCTGAATATTTACACATTTGGGGAAATCTAAAAAGGGCAAAGAGGAAAAGTGATCCTGTTTGAGAGCACGGCACCTCAGGGAGTTCTCTCAAGTACTGAGACTGTGGCTGGCTGCAACACAACCCCACGTCACTAATGTTGCACCAGCAAACTGACTCACGGACTTAGAACAGAACCTGATGAGGATCAGACATCAGCTGGAATACTTTGACAATCACTGGGCTCCTCTGGAGTGATACAAATCTAGGTCTCAATGGCTGTCTTAACAAGCGGTTTCGGAATGTGTGATTACTGAAAGCTTGTCACAGCTTCTCCCAGGCAACCAATGGGAAAAGCACTGAAGAATATCACTGCCTAATGCTTTTCTTGTTCACGCAGGTGAAAGTCAGACAATTGAGGTTCTAGTTAGCCACTGCTGTTGTTTTAACCTCAAATGTCTTCACTTCAACAACTGAGCAGAATTGAGTAGGATCATTCTTTCCTCACTGTCTCCTGCCCCACAAAAGCTCTTCCCAGCCAATATTGGTCTACCCTTCCTAGTTCTGATTGCTGAGTTTGATTTACACAAACACAGAGTTCAAGCAATTAGACCTTCAAAGACAGCAACCAATTTAACCCCAACAGTCATGGATAGGACCCAGACCTAATTCTTAAAATATTATATAATATTTTGCCTATGCTTCTATGAGTTCAATGTTATGCATGGTTCTTTCTCCCACTCTCTATTTATCCCAACAACCCTGTGAAGTAACCTTGACATAGTGACTGGCCTATGTTCCCTCAATGAGGTCCTTAGCCAAGTGGAGATTTCAATCTAGGACTTCCCAGTCCTTGACTGCCAGTCCTTATGAAAGAAAATCTTATGCATTGGACAATAGCATTGCAGAGGAAAGCCTTGACAAAACC